CAGACTTTGTATTTCTAGGTGCAAAGATTACTGCAGACATAGACTGCAGCCAGGAAATCAGGAGACACTTCTTGGGAGGAGAGCAATGTCCAATCTCGATAAAATAATGAAGGGTACAGACATCACACTGGCAACAAAGATCCACATAGTAAAAGCAATAGTATTCCCTGTAGTCACCTACGGATGTGAGAGCTGGGCCATAGGGAAGGCTGAGCAAAGGAAGATAGATGCTTTTGAACTGTGGTGCTGGAGGAAGGTTCTGAGAGTGCCTTGGACTGCGAGAAGATCCAACCAGTCCATACTTCAAGAAATAAACCCCGACAGCTCATTGGAGGGAAGGATATTAGAGATAAAGTTGAAGTACTTTGGCCACACCATGAGGAGACAGGAAAGCTTAGAGAAGACAATTATGCTGGGGAAAATGGAAGGAAAAAGGAATAGGGGCCGACCAAGGTTAAGATGGATGGCATCCTTGAAGTGACTGGCTTGACTCCGAAGGAGCTGGGGGAGGTGACGACCAACAGGGAGCTTTGGTGTGAGCTGGTCCATGAGGTCATGTAGAGTCGGAAATGACTGGACGAACGAACAACAACAAACCTGCTACAAGTCTGGTTACATATTTGAAGGAACTGTAATGGACACCGTTACTAACTAGATGAGCAGTTAAAGAATCAGTATTATGTCTGGTGGACTGAAAAGTTTTGGTTGTTCAGACCAAGCAAATATCAGAGTAGTTGAAGTCCCCCATTACTACTATATCTCTTCTTTCTGCATGTTTGGTCATCTGGTCAAAGAAGGCTTCACCCAGATCATCCATCTGGTTTGTAGATCTGCAGTAGACCCCCAAGACTACATCTTTTTCAGTCCTTATTCTCTTAATTTTTACTCGGATGCTTTCAACCTGGTTTCCAGGGTTGAAGTACTGCATCTGTTCACAGGTGTAAATATTTTTGACATATAATGCTACTCCACCCCCTCGCCTGTTTGATATATTTATCTGAAATGGGTTATATCCCTGCATTGCTATATTCCAATCATAGGACTTATCCTACCAGGTTTCAGTTATGCCTATTACATCACGACTGGTTTTGCTGTGCTAGGAGTTCCAGCTCATCTTGTTTACTTCCCATACTCTGGGCATTAGTGTAAAGATATCTAAGCCCATGGGACATTCCCCTTAGCGGTGTATTTGAAATTATTGTCCACTCACTGCTTGATACTTGTTGTGTTTGTCCAACCCTCTCTTTAGCCTTTTGTCTGTCCATTCTGGACCTTGGTAAACTACTGTTCCCAAGGATAATGTCACCCTCCCTCATATCAAGGCAGATAATCCACAATATCCGATTTGAATGGGATTATCTGAGCCCACACTACCATATAATTCAGTTCAATATGGATTTTATACAGCTGTGTGGAAGGGGTCTAAGGAATTGAAATCATTTCACGGATAAGGCCTAATACCTTGGATAGCTCCTTTACTGTTCAGGCTAAAAACAAAAACAGAAAAACCCAGAGCCAACTCACAAGACATTCAAGTCACCAGAAGTTGTTGGAATACAAAAACATCTTGATTTACTTCACTCATTTTTATGGGCTGCTTTCATTTCTGCTGTGGGACAGGGGATTTAAGAGGAATGAAAGCAGAAATTGGATAGAAATTCAAAAGCTATGATTTTATTATGTCTACTGCTGATCCTGGCTCTCCACTAGTTGGGAGATGAAGGCAAAATACATCTTTACATTATTAGAATTTAGAATAAAAGAGGCAGAGATGTGTGTTGTGACTATGACATGCTGACTCAAGAATGATAACTTTCAGCATTTCTTCACCTCCATTGGAGTTTCCTAGCTATAGAAGCAGGAAGAGTCACAGTGCTAAAGAGTCAAGAGGTTCTGTGCTATTCAGGTAGTTCTTTCCAAACAATGGATTTTTGCAGATATCCAGCTCACTTTTTGAGTTCCTTGGAGTAGTGGTATTAGATTGGGAAAGGAGCTAGTTGTCCTTTGAGCACCCAGATGATCATTCCTTGTCCAAATAAACAAAAAATGGATGCTTCTTACACCTGGGATTTTTCTGGGATTTGCATGGGCTTCAGCAAACTAAAGAAAGTGAGAGTTAAAGAGGTGAGAGTATGAGGGAGGGCAAACTGAAAGCAAAATAAAGGTTTTTGAAAGGGTCGGTGAAAAGTCAGATCTTCAGAAACCCATGCAGTTTCTCTGCAAAGCTCAAAACAGGCAAGTGGGGAGAAGAAAATAAAGTTATGAATGGGATTTTTAATTTGCATGTTGATGAGGTGCTTACAGCAGCAATTTGAACAAATTTGAATCAATAGTGGCTGATGTGCCCATTGTCAGAGCAGTGATGAATTCACTTTGGATCTCAGGTGCTAGTTTAGCAAAGGGGTTCAGCACCTTGGAGAGTGACTTTCAAGTTCAAACTAAACACTGTGCACCTACAGAATTAATGAGGGTTGACATTCCTTTGCCACGGCTCAATGCTATGGAATCTTGGAATCTGTAATTTTGCCTCATCAAACTGTAAATCCTAGGAGTCCATGGTATTGAATTCAGGGACATTGGAGTACCTCCACTCACCATTGATTTAAACGGCCATTTAAAATGAACTTAAATGTTCAAACTCTTGTTTCAACACAAATACAACTGAGTTAATTGTTTTAGCTTATTCATTATTAACTCAACCTCTTCAACACTTTCCACCCTCTTTCCTATCTGAATTAAAAGGAAGACAATTAACTGGGAGGCAGTGTGATGGAGTGGTTTAAGTGTTGGGCTATGACTGGAGACTATGGTTTGGAACCCTTCTTGACCATGAAACCCAATGAGTGAGCTTGGGCAAGTCACACTCTCTCAGCCTCAGAAAAAGGCAAGGGCAAGGCAATCCTGTGATAGTGTTTCCTTGAGGTCGCTATAGTTCAGAATACAACAGACTAACAATATGAATTTCAACAGGGAGAAATGTATGATACTACACTTAGGCAATAAAAATGAATTGAGTGGATATAGGATGGGTGACAACTTGAAAACTGCACATGTGAAAGCAATCTAGGAGTCTCAGTAGACCACAAGCTGAACATTAATCAACAGTATGATGTGCAGTTTTAAAAAGCCAATGCAATTCTAGGCTGCATTAATAGGTTTTTAGTGTCCAGATTGAGGGAAGTCATAGTCCTCAAATGGAACACTGTGTCCAGTTCTGCTCACTACCATCCAAGAAGGATATTGACAGTTTAAGAAGGAGCCAAGCCTTGCGAGGAATGGCTGAGGGATCTGGGTATGTTTGGCTTGGAGAAAAGAAGGCTGAGAGGGGACATGATAGCCATGTTCAAATATTTGAAAGGGTGTCACATTGAGGAGGGAACGAGCTTGTTTTCTTCTGCTGTGGAGACTAGGGCATGGAGCATTGGACTCAAGTGAAAGGAAAAGAGATTCCACCGCCGTTGTCCATAGACACCTCCCAGGTTGACCGGCACGACTGCATGGAGTGCCGTTACCTTCCCAGCGGAGCAGTACCTATTGATCTACTCATATTTGCATGTTTTCGAACTGCTGGGTTGGCAGAAGCTAGGGCTAACAGCAGGAGCTCACGCCGCTCCCCAGATTCAAACCTGCGACCTTTTGGTTAGCAAGTTCAGCAGCTCAGTGCTTTAACCCACTGCGCCACCAGGGCTCTATTATTATTATTATTATTATTATTATTATTATTATTATTATTATTAAACTCAACAAGATGAGGCCACAGCAAACAAGATAACTCTGCTGGCTGTTGTATTGGATCACACGTCGGACACTTCCCAAGTGTCTAGGACTGTGTGATGTATCGGCGAATAATGCGTGCAGATCCCAGTAAGGTGGCCTTTTGCAGCTGGCAGATGGTAATTCTGTCAGTGCCGACTGTGTTTAAGTGCAGGCCAAGGTCTTTAGGCATTACACCCATTATTATTATTATTATTATTATTATTATTATTATTATTATTATTATTTGAAATACAACAAGATGAGGCCACAGCAAACAAGATCACTCTGCTGGCTGTTGTATTGGATCACATGTCGGACACTTCCCAAGTGTCTAGGACTGTATGATGTACCGCCGAATGATGTGTGCAGATCCCAGTAAGGTGGCCTTTTGCAGCTGGCAGATGATAATTTTGTCAGCGCCGATTGTATTGAAGTGCAGGCCAAGGTCTTTAGGCACTGCACCCAGTGTGCCGATCACCACTGGGACCACCTTGACTGGCATGTGCCAGAGTCTTTGCAGTTCAATCTTTAAATCCTCATATAGTGTCAGCTTTTCCAGTTGCTTCTCTTTAATCCTGCTGTCACCTGAGATTGCAACATCTACAATCCATACTTTGTGTTTTTTTTAACACAATCATGAGGTCAGGAGTATTGTGCTCCAAAACTCTGTCTGAATTTGGAAGTCCCCGAGTAGTTTGACGCCGGGTGGAATCATTTTCTGTAACTCTTTCAGGCTTGTGATCTCACCAGTTCTATGTCACAGGCAGATTGTGTTTGAGGCACAAGTTCCAATGAATCATCTGAGCTGCGGTGTTATGCCTCTGCTTATAGTCTGTCTGCACGATCTTCTTGCAGCAGCTGAGGATGTGATCTATTGTTCCATCTGCTTCCTTGCAGAGGCTACACTTGGGATCTGTCTTCAACTTTTCAATTCTGGTTTTGATGGCATTTGTTCTAATGTCATCATCATCATCATCATCATCATCTTTATCTTAACCTCGGTGATGGTTCATAGCGTGAGATATTTTCAAGTAGAGGCTGGATGGCCATCTGTCGGGAGGGCTTGGACTGTGCAGGGCAGGGGGTGGGACCGGGTGGCCCACCTCCTCTGCTCTGTTGGAGACACCTTCACCTCCCCAGGAGGAGAGGCCAGGTTGCCTTCCCCACTCGCCCGCCTCGCCGGGGGAGCCCTGCCCCTCCCCTCCTGCCCCGCCCCCCTGGCTCGGAAGCCGCTTCCCCGTCGTGATTGGTGGCGGCGGGAGGCGCGTCAGTGAGGGGGACCCTACTGGGAACTCCCCGCCGCGGCGCCGGACCGGGCTGCTGGTGCTGCTGCTGGTGGTGGTGCTGCCGCCAGTCCCATTGGTCTCAGGGCAGAGGCTCGCAAGGCTGAAGCATGAGCTCCGACTACGACGTGGTGGTGATCGGGGCCGGCATCTCAGGTCAGTCTACTTCGCGCGCCTCACGAACCTCCTCCTCCTCCTCCTCCTCCTCCTGGGAAAAGAGCCACCGAGGCAACTCTTCTCACCCCCAGTTCCTCTCCCTCCCAGAGACTCCCCAGCTCCGCCACTGAATGGAAGCGCCATTTGCGCCTGGCTTGTTGAGGAAAGAGTTAACTGGAAAGGAGGGAACGCTTCTGGCAGATGGCCATACAGCCCGGAAAACTCACAACAACCCAGTTCATTGGAAAACCGGGAAGAGAGGGAGAGGGAGATGGGGAGTGCCAGAGAGAAGCCCACCCCGGGGTGCCCTGAAAGGTTCTCAACTTCCTCGTGTTGTGGTGACCCAAAACCATAACATTATTTTCGCTGCTACTTCCTAACTGTAATTTTGCTACTGTTCTGAATCGTCATGTAAACTGATATGCAGGGTGTATTTTCATTCACTGGGCCAAAATTGGCACTGATACCCGATACGCCCACATTTGAGTGCTGGTGGGGTTGGGGTAGATTTGGTCATTTGGGAGTTTTGAAGGTGCAGAGATTTCTAGTTAACCTTACAATCAAAGAGAATTCTAAACTCCACCAACGATGGAATTGAACCAAACTTAGCACACAGAACTCCCAACACCAACGGAAAATACTGGAAGAGTTTGGTGGGCATTGACCTTGTGTTTTGGAGTTGTAGTTCACCCCCATCCAGAGAGCACTGTGGACTCAAACAATTATGGATCTGGACCAAACTTGGCACAAATACTCAATATGCCCAAATGTGAATACTGGTGGAGTTTGTGGGAAATAGACCTTTAACATTTGGGAGTTGTGGTTGCTGGGATTTATAGTTCACCTACAATCAAAGAGAATTCTAAACTCCACCAACGATGGAATTGAACCAAACTTGGCACACAGAACTCCCAACACCAACGGAAAATACTGGAAGAGTTTGGTGGGCATTGACCTTGTGTTTTGGAGTTGTAGTTCACCTCCATCCAGAGAGCACTGTGGACTCAAACAATGATGGATCTGGACCAAACTTGGCAGGAATACTCAATATGCCCAAATGTGAACACTGGTGGAGTTTGGGGAAAATAGACCTTGACATTTGGGAGTTGTAGTTGCTGGGATTTATAGTTCACCTACAATCAAAGAGCATTCTGAACCCCACCAATGATAGAATTGTGCCAAACTTCCCACACAGAACCCCCATGACCAACAGAAAATACTGTTTTCTGATGGTCTTTGGTGACCCCTCTGATACCCCTCGCACCCCCCCCCCGTCTTGACCCCCCTAGGTTGAGAAGCACTGACTTAAAGGGAAGAAAGGTGGATTATTTTTGGGCTACCCAATGGCCCATAAGGTGCAGTTTACCTATTGTTGTTGTGTGCCTTCAAATCACACAAACTTATATGATAAGGCCATAGGTTTCTGACTTCTGGCTCTGTCACGGGGTTCTTTTTTGGCAAGATTTGTTCAGAAGAGCTTTGCCAAGGAGGCTGAGAGAGCGTGGCTTGTCCAAGGTCGGCCAGTGAGTTTCCTTTCCATGCTGCGCTGGGATTCTGAGCCCGAGTCACTTAAGCCATTTCCCCATGCAGGCCCCTCTTCAGCTCCTCATAAATACAGGGTGCCACCCTTTAACAGGTCATTTAAAGGCTCAGTAAGTGCACTTATCAAAAGGAATGCACTTCCTAAATTTAAAGAAGAAACATTACACTGTTTTAAGGATTTCATCAGAATTCCAGGTGCCCCCTTAAATCACACCTTGAGGTCAGATGTTCAAGCCTTGTCGAAGCCCAGTGCAGCCTTGTCACAACACAAGAGTTGCCAGTCTGTCTTCCAAGTTCCCCTTGTCGTTTTGCGACCCTTCTCTACTCTGGGGATCCTTAATCCTGTTAGGAGTGTGTACCTATTATGAGAAGGGGCATGCATATACATAACATATGGATCCATTTCAGGCACCAACAATTTCCGCTTCTCTTGCTGGCCCTGAGGTCTGTCCCTAAGAAAGGAGGCGGGTTGGGTCACTTGATTCCCGAGGCTCTCACAGTTTAGGAACAAGGTGCAGGTTGCTCCATATCTGTGGGTGAAATCCCTCGCAGTGCTAACTTGAGCATAAGCTTCCTTTACAGTCCTTTTGAGCAGACGTTTGTGAAGGGGAGGGTGAGTAAGGAGTTTTCCTCCATTTTGGGGGCTGCTGGATTCACAAGACCGGAGAGCTTTCACTCCAGAGAGTCCAAGGGTGTGGATTATTTGGTTTTCACAGAGCATGTTGTGTCACTTTGCTTTATTGGCTTCAGCTCTTACAGTCACTTTCACTCTGGTTTACTTTTCTCCTGTCATCGCCTTAATGAGCAGCAGTCCATTTCTTAAGGTTGTGGTCTCCTTTGCAGACAGGGCACTATAACAAAGGGCTGCAATAACCATTTTCAAAGTATTTCTTTATTGTGTCAGAAGCATGTTGAGGGTACAGTTAAAATGCATTGAAAAACAAACAACTTGGCATTGTGCTAAATGTCCTTTGACCAAAAACTGGCCACTTGAAATGCCTTGGTTGTCATTGTGAGAAGGTCCTCCATTGTGCATGTGGCAGGGCTCAGGTTGCATCATAGTAGAACTGTGGTTTGTTCTTCTCCGCACTCACATGTTGTGGACTCCACTTTATAACCCGATTTCTTAAGGTTAGCTCTGCATCTTGTGGTGCCAGAGCACGGCCTGTTCAGCAACTTCCAGGTCATCCACTCTTCTGTGTGCCCAGAAGGGAGTCTCTTATCTGGTCTCAGCCACCAATTGAGGTGCTGGGTTTTAGCCTGCCACTTTTGAACTCTTGCTTGCTGAGGTATTCCTGCAAGTATCTCCGTAGATCTTAGGAAGCTATTTCTTGATTGAATGTGTTGGCATGCTGGCTGATATCCGAACAGGGGATGGGCCAGAGATGTGAATGCCTTGGTCCTTTCATTGCTGGCTGCTACTTCCCGGCAGATGCAAAACAATCTCAACAGTGTAATTTCTCCAGTGGTGTGTGGCGTACACATCCTGTGATAATGTGGCATGTCTCATTAAGAGCCACATCCACTGGGCATGTGTATTCAACAGCAGAGTAGCAAAGCTCAAGGGCAGATGTCTTCACTGGCTCTGGTTGTGATTCCAAGGTTGTGCCAGTCAGTTCTCATATGATATTATTTCTAGCACCCACTTTTTGCTTGATAGTCAAGTAGTGCTTCTTGTAGGTCAGAGCATGGTCCAGGGTGACTCCCAGGTATTTGGATGTGCTGCGGTGCTCCAGTGGGGTTCTTTCCCAGGTAATCCTCAGAGCTCGAGATGCTTGCCTGTTCTTAAGATGAAAAGCACACATCTGTGTTTTAGGTGGATTAGGAATTAGCTGGTTTTCTGTTTAATAGGCAGCAAGAGCACCTAAATCTTTGGAGAATTTCTGTTCAACCAGCAGTAATGGCATGATCGTCAGCATAAATGAAGCTCTCTGTCTCTTCTGGCACTACTTTGTGTACATATGCCTGTGTGCCTTCAAATCACCCCTCCACTTATGGTAACCCCATGCATTTCATGGGATTCTCTTCTTAAGCACATAATGTTTAGAGGTGATTTTGTCAGTTCCTTTCTTTGAGATATATGGTAGTTGATAGTAATCATTGGTGGTGTCCTATCCAAGAATTGTGTGCTCCCTATAATTAACTTCAGTTAGAAACCTTCCCAGTGCAGTGTCTTGGCAGTGGATATGCAGGTGACCGTGGAGCCCTATTCTAGACAGGCATGTTCTTCCACAGTGAGGACATCGGTTTCCAAGTGGAAGGCAGTCCCAATCAGGGTTGGCTTGACACGCCTTCTTCTTGGCACATTTCTCCCCTTCACCCTCCATTTGTGCCTCTTCAAATTCCACAGCACTGCTGGTCACAGCTGACCTCCAGTTGCATTTTTATAAACTCCAGGACAGTTATAAAAGTGCAAAGTAAGGCTGCATTCCTATACCTAGGAATTCCCATTGAACTCAGTGAAAGTTACAATTTGGGCTAACATGCATAGGATTCCACTGTTAGTCTACAATAATGTATGCTCTGTCTAGAAGTGAGTCCTTCTTGCACTCACTGAGACTTACCAAAACAACTTTTACAAACTATTAACAGGTTTTCTTGACAAGATTTATTGCCTTGGTGTTCTTGTGGGACTGAAAGATTGTGACTTGCTTAAGGTCACCCAATTGATTTCTATGCCTGAGCAGGGATTTGAAACCTGTTCTCCAGCATTGTAATTTGATGCTCAAACCATTATATCATACTGGCTTTTCATCTTCCATCTTATGAAGCATCATTGTCCTTTCTAATTAGTCATATCTTCATATGATACATCCAAATTATTTTCTCATTTTGTTTACTGAGGAAAATTCAGGCTTGATTTGATCTAGGACCCGTGTATTGGTCTTTTTGACAGTCTGTGATATCCACAAAACACTCCTCCAGAATTAGTTGATATCCTTCTTCTCAACTTTCTTCCTTGTCCTGCTTTTATAACTATAAGTACACACTAGAAATAGGATAAGTCACTCTTGACTTTAGAAAGACCTCAGACAAGCCCCTACATTGGCAGTCTTCAGAAAGAATTTGAAAACCTGGCTGTTCCAATGTGCCTTTTCAGACTAGGAACCCCAGTACCAAATCCCAGAAGCACTTTAGTTAGAACCAAGATCACCGCACACCGCACTTATATTATAACCCCATATTCCTCCGACACATCAGCACTTTTAATCCTGTACCCCTACTCTGGCCGGCTCAGTTTTAATAATGTCTTGTTGTACTGCTATTGTTATTGTTTTTGCTTAACTGTTTATTTGCTAGGTACTGTATTGTTGTATTGTGTGGGCTTCGGCCTGTTGTAAGCCGCATCGAATCCCTTGGGAGATGCTAGCGGGGTACAAATAAAGTTATAATAATAATAATAATAATAATAGTATTCAATTATATATTTTTACACTTGTAGGTCTGGTCTTGTTCCT